CCCAGGCCCGTTCCCAAAGGGTCTCATGGGTCGGCCCCAGAGCCCGGCGGGGCCTGGCCGTTTTGGATTGGCCGGAAGAGGTGGTGAACCCACCCTGTGCAGCCGGCTCTCGCAGGCCGGCGAGAGGCAGCAACGCGGATCAGTGTCCCAACACGGCTGTGTGACCTGACCTGGTCGGGTCAGGGCGGAGCTGGCAGGGCAGGCCCAGTGTCTGGCGGCCCCCAGACCGATGCCATCCCCCAAGCAAACCAGCGTCTGCGACCAAAATAGCCGTCAGATGACAACAGAGGCCGGCTGCGCTTACAGCAGCTGCAGCTAAAATTAGGCGTGGAGGACGCGCACCTTCAGAGGGTCTCCGGGCAGAGCCGCCCTCCCTGGGGGCTTGGTGCCATGAGGTCGCTGCGCTGCCTGGCGGCGGAGGCCCTGGCGGCCCACGCACCGGCCGCCCTGCAGAGCCTGGACTGCGTGGCCCACGACCTCTACCCGCTGCTCTTCAAGACCAGCTTCTCGCTGGAGCGCACCGAGCTGCTGGCCCGGGCCTGCTGCGAGCTGCAGGCCGAGCCGTGCGCGGCCCGGCGCCCCGCCGTCCAGGTGCTGGCCGACCTCTTCGTCACCGAGGGCAACTTCGAGACGGTGGTGCGCGCCTTGCGGCCGGTGGGCCCCGCGCCGCTGCGCATGCGCTGCCCCGCGCTCCGGGCCGACAGCCTGCGGCCCGCGCAGCTGCTGCACGTGCTGGAGCTGGTGGAGGCGGCGGCGCTGCGCAGGCTGGACGTGGTGCACAACGTGCGGCTGCACACGGGCCACGTGGAGCGGCTGCTGGCGCGCGCGCGCTTCCCCCGGCTGACGGCGCTCACGCTGCCCCCCAGGGCCTTCGACCCGCCACCTGCCGGGAGCCCCGGCCCTGACGGAGAGGACCCCCACCTGGCCGCCATCGCCCGGGCGCTCAGCCAGATGACGCAGCTCACGGAGCTGAGCGTGGCCTTTTCCGTGCTGACCGGGAGGCTCCAGCAGCTGCTGGGGTGAGTGGGGGCGAGCAGGGCGGGGCCGAGCAGGGCGGGGCCTCGTGCAGGTACCACAGTGGGCTGCCCCGCGGAGGGCCGGGCTGCGGGCGCACCAGGAGTGGGGAGAGGGGACTCGTTTAGGTGTTAGGCCTGCTCCCCGACCCTGGAAGGGCACAGAAGGGGTGGGCAGCTGCCAACAAACCGTCCCTTAGAGTCTGGGAGGAAGGCAGGTAGAGGGCCCCACACGTGAGTCCCTGCGAGGGCAGGGAGAGCTCTCAGGTAGTAAGCGAGAGAGCCAGTGACCCATCAGCAAAGACGGAAAGAGAAGTCAGGACAATCTCCAATGTTTGCAGGCTGCTGCACCAGTAAGCTCTGCCGTGTGACCAGTCACTCCGACACTGGATGGCTCAGGAACCCCAGCTGGGTGCACGTGCCGGGGTCTCCCCCAAGGCGACCGTCAGCTGTTAGTGGTGGGGCCGGGGCCCTCTTCCAGGCTCCCAGTCCTGCTGTTGGTGGGAGGCCTCTGTTCCTCACCACCAGTCTCTGCCTGAGAGACTGCATGACACGGGGCCAGTGATGAGAGAGACGGAGGGAGAGGAAGGGGTGGAGAGAGCCCATGGGAAGCCGTGCACTGTGTAAGGACCTTGTAACCCAGTCTTGGCGGAGACAGCCCACCGCTGCTGCCCTGTGTGGGTTACAAGTGACCACCAGCAGACTGTATTTCTACATGTGCCAGCTCTGGGGGCATAGTGCCTAGGCATTTGACTGCTAACCAGAAGGGTGGTGGTTCAAACCCACCAGCCACTCCTCGGTAGGAAGGTTGGGCAGTCTACTTCCGTAGTGATGCTGCCTCGGAAACCCAAAGAGGGGTTGCTATGGGTTGGATACTACTCAACAGCAATGGGTTATCTATATGTGCTGGAAGAATGCCCTTATAAAGAGAACTAATGGGGGCGACGTTATGATAACTTCATGGCCACAACCAAACCCCCTGAGGGAGCAACTTGTTGGACCTGTGGGCTCGGGACCTGGTCCCAGGGGACATCAAGCTCAATTGGCATAACATACTACACAAAGCATTGTTCCACATCCTACTTTGGCAAGTAGCGACTGGGGTCTTAAAAGCTTGCAAGCGGCCATCTAGATGCAACAATTGGTGTCTCCTTGTCCAAAGCAAAAAAGAATAAAGAAAACCAAAGACACATGGAAACAATTAGTCTAAGGGACTAGTGGACCATGCGATCCTCAGCCTATACGACCATCAGACCAGAAGAACTAGATGGTGGCCGGCTACCACTGTCAGCCACTTAGAGGGGGATCTATGTAGGAGATCCTGAATAGAGAAGGAGAACAATGTGGAACAAAACTCAAAATCATTTGGGGGGAAAAAAAAGGGACCAGGTTTGCTGGTCTCATACAGCCTGGTGAGATCCCTGGGTCTATGGCCCCTAGCCACCCTTCAGGTCTGGAATTGAACCCACTCCTGTGGCTTCCAGCCAAACAAAACACAGGCATATGCGCTGAACATGTACATCAGGTAGATACACTCCTTGGGGAGAATAATCATGAGAGAAAGAAGGGCTGCTTATGCACAGGGAGACAGCTCGGGGGGCAGGAGTGCATGGAGGGAAGGACACAGAGAAGAGGTAACTATGGGGAGGAAGTGAGAGGGGAGCTGTTGCATTGTGGTAAACTGTGGTCAATGTCATGCAACAAGATGTGTATGAACTGCTGTGTGGAAAATGAGTTTGCTCTGTAGGCTTTCACCCAGATCACAATAATAATAAATAAATAAAATGAGCCACCAGGTGTCGTGCACAATCAAGGGGAGGGTACCACGCAGGCATGGTACCAAGAGGGGTCCTTGGGCCACAAGTATGTCTATAAAGTAATTATACTAAATTCACCTTTTCATTTCTTGAGCCAGTGATTTGAAGGTGAACTTTCCACATTCAGGGACAATGATTTGAAGGGGTACGTTCTGCATTTAGGACGTCCTCAATTTCTTTTATACAAAGGAAACCCAGCAATGGAGGCCCAGGCTGGCAGGGGGGTCCATGCGGTAAGCTTCACTCCCCCAGCAGACACATGGACCCCTCCACACCCAGGTCCGTGTGGGTCGGTCATGGAGTCTGCCGGGCGGGTGGAGGCCACACGTGGCTGGAGAAGAGCGTCCCAGCGGGGGGGGGGGGTGTGTGCACAGGCCCCGTGGAGGGAGTTAGGAGGGTCAAGGGCGCGTTCGAGAGAGAAGGGCTTGGGCCTGAGCCTGGTGTCAGGACTCAGTTTACTCCTGGGCTCCACACAACGGGCCTGAGGAGGCCAGGCCAGGCAGACGGGGCAGGGAGACCACCACTCTGACCTAGGCACAGGGCAGCGCCCTGGGGTCGTCCTGGTTCCCGGGCAGTTCTAGGCGCAGCCAGGCGTGCTGAGGCCCCTGGCCGAGGTGCCCCGGCTTGGGACAGGACGGGCCGCTTTACCCCCCACTCACTCTCTCAGCGCATTTCACCCGGGGCCCCCAGCGCACTGTCGACCCCACACTTCAGTCGCCCAGGAAACCACATGACACGGGAAACAAGTACATAGCACCCGTTTATCCTGAACCCAGCAGGACACCACCTTCCACAGCACGAGGGAGCTGGCCGTCCCTGGAACCTGCCACTGGGAATACAGGCAGGGGCAGGGGGCAGAGACAGCCCAGAGTGGGTGGGAGAGATGCAGTGAGACCCTGCCACCAGTGAGGGTCAGCCCCACATCACCTCCTCCAGGAAGTCTGCAGAATTCGACCCAACCCGTGCCCTGGCCCTCAGTTTCCCTCCTGGCCAGCTGCAGGAGTTTCCAGCCCCCGGACACTTCTGGTCTGCCCTCGGGCGCCTGTGCAGCAGGGTGGACCCGAGCCGGGGGGTCGGCAAACCCTCTGTGAAGGCCAGGCAGCAGTCGGCGGGGGCTCTGTGGGTGTGAAGTCTGTCCTAGGACACAGACAACACGAAAACGAGCGACCGAGGCTGTGTTCCCACAGAACTGCTCATGAACGGGGGACACGTGAAAGTCAAGTGATCGTCAGGTCGCTTTTTTTTTTTTTTTTTTAACCTAATTACAAGCGTCACCACCTCGGCCGGCCGGCAAGTGCACGACACCCAGCCTGCCCTGCCATGTGCTAACAGTCAGTCAGTCAGCGATCGGTCAGACAACTGATCAGTCAGCGACTGACTGGTTAGACAGTCAGCGGTTGGTCACTGTCCCCCTAGTGCCCCTCCCCGGGACCCTCCTCTCACCTGTCCTGCTTCCACCTTGCCCACAGCGCCCTGCGGACCCCGCTGCGGACCCTGGACCTGGCCAACTGTGCCCTGAACCACGCGGACATGGCCTTCCTGGCAGGCTGCCGCCACGCTGCCCACCTGGAGGTGCTGGACCTCAGTGGCCACGAGCTGGTCACCCTGTACCCGTCCACTTTCTTCCGGCTGCTTGGCCGCGCCGCCCCCTCGCTGCGGACCCTCACCTTGGAGGAGTGCGGCCTTGGGGACCAGCACGTGAACAGGCTGGGCCTGGGCCTGGGCCCGTGCCAGCGGCTGCGGGAGCTCCGGCTCCTGGGGAACCCCCTGTCGGCCCGCGCCCTGCGCGGCCTCTTCGCCGCCCTCTGCGAGCTGCCGGGGCTGCGGTGCATCGAGTTCCCGGTGCCCAGGGACTGCTACCCCGACGGCGCCGCCTACCCGCTCGATGAGCCAGCCATGTCCAAGTTCGACAAGCAGAAGTACGAGGAGGTGGCGGAGGGGCTGCGCGCAGTGCTGCTGCAGAACGGCAGGGGCGACATCCGGGCCTCCACGCCCCTCTTCGGGACCTTTGACCCCGCCATCCAGGAGACCAGCCACGAGCTGGGGGCCTTCCTGCTGCAGGCTCTTCAGAGCGCCCTGGAGAAGTTCGCCAGAGCGCTGCAGGAGACGGAGTAGGGCCTGGAGACGCTGCACCCGGCGGCCTTCAGCCGGGGCCGGGCCTGTCGCCAGCGCGGGGCCACTGTCAGCACCGTCCTCCACGAGACGTGGTGCCCTTTCACTGAGTGTCGGCCCGCTGGGGCCAGAGGCCAGGAGAAGCCCCCGGGAGAGGGACGTGTGCCGAGGCAGAGGGGACGGGAGAACGGTGTGGGGACCGCAGGGTGGGGGTCACGGCCGCAGGGGGGGGGGCGGGGATACTAGATGGGAGATGCAGCGGAGAGCAGGGAGGGCGTGGGAGGGGGATGGCTGGGCTGCGCCTGGAGCCCCTCGCTGGTCCTCGGCGTGGGAGGGGGCTCACGGTCTGTGGCTGCCCTGGGATCGCAGCCTGAGGACAGGCGCAAACGGCCAGACTTGGAGACCTGACCTGTTCTTGGCAGAACCCTGGTCCTCGTGAGTGAACACCTGGGACCCGCCAGGGATGCTGTACGGGGCTGGGCTGGGCTGGCGGGTGGTATGTCAGTCACTCGGCTGCCTGTGTGTCTCAGGTGAGCCCACGTGTGAGGCCAGGTGGGCTGCGGGGCAGGGGGGGCTGCAGGAGAGGAGCAGCTGCGCACGGCTGAGGGGCTGGAAGGTCGTGCAACCCAACGTGCTTTTCCTAAACGGGCGCCCCCGGCTCGCCGTGGTCCGCCTGGACTTGCCCTTCTGAACTATCACATGGCGCCTGTAATAAAGCGATTTGGTTGCGCGCAGAACCGTCGGAATGGCCTTGTTTCTGTCACGGTCTTAGCTTGAGCCAGGCAGAGGTGAAGCAGGCGAGGGCCCTGTGGGACCGAAGTGGGAGGCCCAGAAAGGTGACCGCCACGCGCTCCCATCCTCAGTCGCCATCTCCACCCCTTGGGGAGAGAGCAGGCGTGGAGCCTGTAGCCCGGGAGAGTGTTCCGTCCTGAAGACGCAGACAGGGCAGGCTGGCCAGCGGGAGACCTCCGTCCTCTGCAGCCCCTGGGCCCTGCTCCCAGCACGGTGCCCGCCAGGTGCGTGCAGGCCGTGGTGAAGCATGGACGGGAGTCTGGGGCTACTGTCCTCCGTGCAGACACACGGTCACAGGTTAGACCCTGCCGGCCACAGGGCTGAAGGACAGTGGACCCTGACTGGGTGAGACTCACGGGGGCCCTGAACTAGGGATGGTGGTCATCTCAGGAGCCGTGGCGTGGCCCGTTGGCTGTGCCCGCCCAGGGCGGTTGGTCAGAGGCCTGACACAGGTGAGCCACCGAGTGCCTGAGACTTGCCATGTCCAGTCCCTCTCTGAGGTCTGGCTGCACCTCTGTCCCTGCCCTTTGGCTCGTGAGACAGCCTTTCAACGTCTGCACTGGCTTGACTTGACCCGTTCCCTGCGACCAGAGTCCTGCTTTACAGAGATGAACACTGTGGGCAGTGACCCCCTGGCCTGGCTCAGGGACACAGGGCGGCCCACACCCGGCCAAGCAGAGCCTGGAGGCCCGCCGTCTGCACAGCAGCGTCCCCACCTGCACTGGCGACAGATGTCCCTGTCCCGGCTCAGGGCCCACGCGTCTCCTCTAAGACAGGCGGCCCCACAGCTGAGCTGGCCACCACACAAGGACGTGAGATGTGACCTGCCCTCCCCTAGCTGCCTAAGTGCTATGGGCATCCCTTACACACAGAGATCCTCGGAGCAGGCAGCGTGTCCTATAACGGACACACAGGGCAGGTTATTGTGGGTGCAGTATAATTGCTGCTGCTTGCAGCGGGGAACTAAGGTGGTGAGACCACCAGAAAGGCTTCTCCCTTCCCTTTATGTTAAAGGACAGTCCTAGGGACCTCTGATGCCGTCAGGCTTTCCACAGCCCGACGCTGCGATAAAGCCAGTGACACGTTTCGACAGCCATCACCTCTTTGCCAGAGCACGGGGATTCTCCGGTGTTCCAAGTCAGTCTTCTTTAGTATTAGTAATCTCAGATCTCGGGAGCCATACTGGCCCAATTATTTCCCTGTTGTCCTGAAATCAACACTTTATCTGTCAGTGTGTGCATGTGAGTATACACATCCATATACACACACAGGAAATGCGTACCAGAATCAGACCTCTGCACCCAGGAATTTAACGAAGAGGGAAATGAGGACATGGGGCAGGGCAGCTGACTAGATTGTTGTTGTTGTTACGTGCTGTCGAGTCGCCCCGACTCATCGCGACCCCTCCTTGGGTTGCCGAGGCTGTTATCACTACGGAAGTAGATTGCCCAACCTTCCTTCCGAGGAGTGGCTGGTGGGTTTGACCTGCCAGCCTTCTGGTTAGCAGTCAAGTGCCTTAGGCACTACGCCACCAGAGCTCCCTGCCTGCTTCTCATCTCACTTGTCATTTGGCTGGTATCTAGAAGGTTGATGGTTCAAACCCACCTGGTGCTCTGAGGGAGGAAGATGAGGCAATGCACCTCTGTAAAGATTTACAGCCTTGGAAACCCCGTGGGGCAGTTCCGCTCTGCCCTAAAGGGGCACTGTGACTGGGCAGTGGGTTTGCTTGGTCTTGTTTCTTGGGAGGGAATATCCAGAGGCCAATTGCCACAGTTCCTAACATCATTACTAAGGGCTGCAGCCTGAAATAGGTACTTTCACAGTGAGTGACCGGAGCTCCCACAATAGTCCTCTTTTTTTAAGCTGCTTTGACCTTAAACACCATAATCTGACCCCCTAATCAGTTAAAAAACACCACATTCCTTTTTTTTTTTTTTTT